GTGTGACGGACTGCGTTTGGAGCCACTTCTGATCGCTTATGCCCTGGTCCCACTAGAGCAACAAAAAGCTAGAATAACCGACACCGACAACTTCAAGCCTCGAACATGTGCAGCATGCAGGCGATGGTACTTTTTGGCAGGGGGGATCGGTGGCCGAGTGGTCTAGCGCACACCAGCTCGGAGCACGTGGAGCGAAAGCTCGCGCTCCAGAACCCAGGGATCCTGGGTTCGAGCCCCACCCCTGCCCGTTTCGATCTGGATGAGCATCGTACCGGCGTGCGGTCGTGTATCACTACTGCGTGACGCACGTTAAAGACCCCAGGCTAGCGGTTGTACCGCACTGGCTAAATTTCTCATCTACAGCTGGGATACTCGTCGCCCCTGTGAGGCAGACCAAGTTCTAGGCTGTATAAACACACACACCACCCAATTTTAAATTTTTTACCTTTTGGCAGGCTTGCAGTCTCTCGGTGCTCGTGAAGTAAGCACGGGCGCAGCCTCCTGCACGAGTGACTGCAAGCTATTGACGGCGAGGTGTTTTGGTGGCGCCCTCCTATGGTTACCTCTCCTTACGTAATTACCTTGCGAACCACAAATTTGATGGCGTTTGTATTGAACATGGTGGGAGCTTGAAGTCAATGCGCTCTGAAACGAACACTGCCAACACCATCAATATTGAATTTCTTCCATTATTCTTATTAGAGCGCAGCTCTTAGGCGCCCGTTCCCGGCTTGAGCGGCGTCGCCGTCGCCGTCGACGTCGGCGTCGGCGTAACCGCGAGTAACCCTCGTAACCCTCGTGAGGGTTACGAGGGTTACAAGGGTTACTCTCACGAGGGTAACCCTCGTAACCCTCGTAACCCTCACGAGGGTTACGTTAGTTACTCTCAAAAGGGTTACTTTCACGAGGGTCACGAGAGTTATGAGAGTTACCCTCACGAGGGTTATGAGAGTTACCCTCACGAGGGTCACGAGAGTTACCCTCACGAGGGTCACGAGAGTTACCCTCACGAGGGTCACGAGAGTTCCCTTCACGAGGGTTGCTAGGGTTACCCTCACGAGAGTCACGATGGTTACCCAGGTCACGTGACCCCCCCCGAGGTCACGTGACCCCCGTTGATGTCATCGCCACTGATGACGTCATCAGTGACGTCACGGATGACGTCACTGGCATCTGCATCGTCATCGTCACTGATGACGTCATTAGTGACGTCACCGGCATCCGCATCGTCATCATTACTGATGACGTCACCAGCGACGTCATCAGTGACGTCACTGATGCATTATCAGTGACTGATGCACGTGACCTTGAGGGGTCACGTGATCCCCCCCGCCACCCGAGGTCACTTGACCCACCCCCCCAGTGCCCTTCCCTCCTCCTCCTCAAGAGCTGCGCTCTAATTCTGCGTTACAGGGAGTAGTAAACGGCTTTCATTTTTTCAGTCCACGAGATAGCCCTTGCTGAGGTAATTATCAGCATTCGGCCAATCGTGGAAGGCCGATCATAGAGACGCTTTCGATCGCTCATGTCACCAATAACCAAAGGTACCTTCGCGTACATGCTGAACGTGATTTGTCGGTTGCTTCTGTGTGTCGCTCTAGAGGGACTCGGAATTTACGACGCGAGAACTTGCTGGCGCCATCTATCGGGTGGCAGTGGAACACTTCCGGTGTGCGTTATATTTCACGCGTCATTCCTTCACCGTGTACTTAAAATAATTCTGAGAGCTACCATTTTTTTACAGATATTGCGTAGGTTCGGTGTCGCGTGTACTGCAGAACCTTCTGTCTAGATGTACGCCGTTCGGATGTGTTTCAGCGCTGCTTGATAAATGGCGCCACTGGACCAGTTTGTTCTCTCGTCGTCAGCGCTTGCAAGCAAGCGCAGCGCACTGCAACACACTCAAACAAAAATGTGCGAACCAGTTTCGAGTCTTGTCGTACAAGTCCCCGAGTAGAATGATCGAACTCTTATTATTAAGCCACTTCAGAGGCCGCGACGCCACCCGGCGGAATACACGCGAAAGAACGAAGCTGGAAACTGACCTCTATTAAAGTGTGGAGCGCAATATAATGGTGGCCGAAATGTATAACAGAGGAAAGGGGATTAAGTGCACGACTTTGGAGTGCAAATAGATACCAAGGGCTTTGGGTGAAAACACTTGAAAATCGCAAGGGCGTGCATGGCTAGTACTAAGCATGTCATTATCGCTTCACGGCCGATGAGATAGCGGCATTCGCCGATAAAAACGGTGAAGAACGAATCACGAAGCAAGGAGGAGCATGATCATAATAATTAAGCCACGTAGCGTGCTTCTCAACCTCTTTTGACTATATCGGGCCTTGTACCTGACGTCATATGGCACCTTACCAGCCGTCATTGTTGCGTACAATAAAACTGTGATGTGCCTATATCTTGTGGAGCATGCATTTCGGACCATCGAATTTGTTCTTCTCGGATACGAGCTGGCTTTTTATTCTGATGAAAAGAGCTGGTCCTTTTATTAAACTTAAATTTTGTTCACTTGTCGGAGGCGGCATGATTTTATTCAGTATTAAACCAACAGCATCGGCAGCTTAGTTTATCAGCGTCTTAATATAGCTAAAAGAAACAATTTCCAGTTTAGCGTCATTCCTGGCCAGTTCATTGTCATGTTAAAAGCTTAATGTTGAGGCTAATAAAATTAAACGGACAAAATTTGACGGCCATGCAACGTTGAAGGTGAAAGCTTAATTTCTAGCAACTACAAAATTGTACGCTGCAAACAAATCAGCACAATGGGCTAAGTAAGTTCGTTATGTAAATTGTATTTTTATTTTTTTTTGTAACATATTAATCACGGGTGTTACATATATTTATAACACTCTCACCATTAAAGAGGAATATTTTCCTCATCACAGTTTACTCGAATGTGATCGGCCTGAGTTATAGGGAAGCGCCAACTTTCATTGAGCAGCTAATGATCATTGAGTTCAACTGAGCTGGCCTACCTCAGTTACACTCTATTCCACCTTATGATGTACTTACTGCAGGAAAGGCTAGAAGCGCAGGTTCCTTGCTCTAGGGCAAATTTCGCGCTGCGGTACAAATGTATTTCTTCCACCGAGGGTACAACATAATAACTGATAGGGTTTCGCTCCATTAGAGTTCAAGATGGCAGTGTCCGCCGCATCGCCACCCGTGGCCAGCGCCAGCGAAGCACTTACTACCAACGTTACTGGAGCAAGCTCAGTTTCGCAGCTTCCTATACACCTTTCCAAAAAAGACTCGACCCCAGGAGCAACAAACCGTTTTCAATCCCAGTCACTGAGTTTGAGGCTAGTCTCTCACCGGCGTCCCTCCTAACCCTAACCGAGTGGACTGTGATTTCAATAGGTGCAGCCTGCGTAGGCGCAGTTTTAAACGCTGCTGGCGGCTAAATTTTCGTCTTTTCCCGCTATATTTTGTGTTTCAGGGTACATGTGTTTTCCCGAGGACATTAAGAAAGCATTGTGCCACACTTGAAAAAAAAAAAAAAGCAAAACAAAAAAAAACTGTAAACTATTTTTGTTGGATACGCGCGCGACAGAACGAATGCGACTGGTAGTTATTATTTTTTTTTCTTAAAATAAGTCTTGACGGCGCCGCGGGATTTGCCGCATGTGAAACGACAAAGCGCTTTGCTGACAAAAATAAATTGCAACAGAAAAGGGCCGAAAGGCATGCATTTTTCACGCTCACAAATAACGTGTTTACCGATGGACAGGACACGGACATACAATTCAGGAAGTGTTAACATTCGAACAATATATCGTACGTACCACACAATGCTGCGTTATCCGAACAGAATTTATTTGAAAAAGATCTCAAATAACACAGGCACAGACGACGACAGTCACATCTTGACGATCGGACGGAATCCGAGACGACTTCGTTCGTTTTGGGGCACGTTTTGGGGAGAGCTTCCTTTTTTCACAACCGCACCAAGGCAAAGAAACAAACGCGACTGACCCGTTTCTCACCCCAACCCGGACAACTATTTTTGGAGATGACTGAGGATTCTACGCGGATTATCTCTGGGAGGGGGGAGAACAATGTTCGCCAAATCGCGCCGAGGGTCGTTCGACGTCCTCCACCTCCTTCGCTTCCTGTGAATGTCGAGCCATAGCCTCCTCTATACGGAGAAAGCCTGGCGCGTCGCGTGAAAAGACGGCCGCCGTAAATGGGAAAGGAGGGGCGGAGAAACGGGAGCGGAGAGAACCTTGTCCGCTAGCGCCACAAAAGAGCGAGCGGCCAAACGCAGAAACAATCTTTTTTTTTTTCTCTTTTCTTGTCGCTATCGTGGAGAGGAGAAACTCAACGTCCACCCTTTCCCGTTTCTCCCTGCGCCCTTTCGAATCGCCGCGCCCGTTTCTCCCGGAGTACAAAAACGACGGTGACGAAAACACAAAAACAAGCGTGGTTCGGGGAGCGGCCGCTCATGACCCAAGCGCTCGCTGTTAAGGTCTGGCCTTTCTGCTCTGCGCTACCATATTGGTCACCGTTCGGCGCGCTCCTCCTCTCCTTTTTCCTGCGACCGCGCGCTCTATGGCTCCGTCTTCGATGTGCCAGGCTTTCTCCGTATAGAGGAGGCTATGGTCGAGCAGAAAAGCTTGAATGGCAGGCACCTACCAGCCTATTTCTCACAATGGAAGATAACACAGAAACGGTACGCAGCACGCATAAAAAAAAATTAAATGGAAACTTTCAAGAGGGGCGAGAAAACGTCGAATGCAAAACCGCAACAACGCAGGTAGAGAACCGCGCTGAGCGGGTCTTCACAGTCCCAGAGAGTGGCAGAAAATTTCTAGCTGATAGAGGGCGCGAGAGTCGCACCAGCCGCATCAGCATCAGCAACATGGCGGCGGCCTAGGAGCGGTTTTTGGAGCGAGCGCCTATCCACAGATCTGCCCGTGCCTAGATCTGGGGACAACGCCAGCGTAGGGAAAACCGCTCGTAGGGAATCCTTTCGGGTGGTGGTGATGATGATGATAATTATGTCATATAACACCTGAGACTGTGGTCGAAGAAATTGGAAACATTTTAGTAGAAAGATCGGACACAAAAAGGGACGTCTCAAACCCAGCTAACTGGTTTATTTCTCGACCATCCTATATCATGATAGCTTCACGAATGACTTGCCCACTGGCGCCACACTGGCCTCGCTGTTTTCAACGGTTCTCAGGTTGCCGGGGCGGCTTGTTTGAACTGTTTGAACCACAGGTTTGAACTGTTTCAACGGGAGTCATGGCAAATCCACTTGGAGGCTTATTTAAACCAAAGTCCCGCTGGCGGGAAAAGATAACGGACGGAGCAGCACTGCGTGGCCTCGCAATCCCAGCGACCCGACGAGCTCGCAGTGGTGCTCGGAAGACGACCCTCCCAAAGCCGACGACGCGCACTCGCACGTACATGCGCAAGCGATCACCTCTGTGGACAGCGAAGAAACATCGTCGCACTGTGACAACTTTGTTGGCGTTCGTTTCATAAAACCCGTTCTATAAGGTATGTGTTCAATCTTCATTATTTTACCTGCGCAGTAGAACCGGCCAATATCTGAAAGCTAAATCAGCCTGCGCGTTAAAATCGTGAAAACACGGCAAAGCGAATCTGCTGCGTTTTCAACCCCTTTTACCATGACACTGGATGTCTTAGCAAAGTCTTGTGTGTTTATCGCATCTTAAATATAAATGTGCCGTGTCCGCAATCCGCGGTATCAGTTCCCGTTTTATGTGGTTTGTAGCGGATAGCCCAGCGGCTTATCGCGTTTTTTTTAATAAATTTTGCTGTCGTATTCCCAAGGATAGCCCACCCCATGTTTTTCCCAATTTATCTCTTCATTTTGGGTGGGCATCCTTACGGGATTTTACGGTAGTTTTGCTTTGTCCTATGCATAAGTCAACGTCCTTTCCACTTTTCAGGAGCTTGTGTCCACCCTGAAAGGCCTGGCGAGCCACGTGCTCGTATTCAAGCTGGTGCCACGAGGTGGGCCTTTCGGGCATGCCAGGGAGGATGAGAGGCTGTCCCTGAACCGCCTACTAGTACGGAAGGTGTTGCCCTCGGCGTTGCCATCGTGAATGTCGACGTAAGTACATGGAACTTTCACCCCTGGTGCACTGTCCTTTTAAGTTACATGTGACATGCCCCTTGTGACGAGATGTTATCTTCCGTGTTATTGGTAGCCAGGTATTCATGATGCCTCTGGAATGCTGTTTATTGAGTGACAAGGTTGGGCAGATATAACCTAAAAAGCATTTGAAATGACGAATACTGGAATACACAGCAGTGACAGCTAAAGTACTGATACTAAAATACATTTATAAAAAGAGCATTGCAAAACGACTCAAATATGTGTGACCAAAAAAATAGGTGACAAGGTATCTTTAAATATGTTTTATTTGAAGGAGAAATCCTGATACTGAAATATGGGGGGCAGTCAGTTCATTGAACGACGTTTCATTGACAGTTCGTTTCATCGACAGTTTGTTACATCGACAGCTCAGATAAGCTTTTTTTTCTGTAGTGACTCCCCGCAGAATGTTGCCGCTAAGCAGCTTGAGTGGGTGGGCCCACTGATCTCTACTATAGGGGGCTGGATGGCGCTTAGCTGCTGTCCGAGCCTGGCGCAAGTGACGCCACCGGAAGTTTGATTCTTGTCCCGAAAGTCGGGCGTGCGCTGGTCTTCCTAGTGCATTCAGTCGATATTTTGGACCATGCTTTTTTGTGTCTTTGATTGGGTTTTAATACTCCCGTTCTGGATTAAATTCCGAGAATGAGGCATTTGAACTTGAGAAATATTCACAACTTTATCAACTAGAATCTCAAAATGTTTACATTGAATGGCTTCCCATGATGCTTCTAGGGTCTGCATGCGCTCTTAATGCGCAACAAGCAGGCTCTCTTTAGGGAACAAGCGAAAATCCAGCGCCCTCGACGCTTTTCGAACCAGCACTCGGAAGGGTTACAAAGCCTGCCAAGCGCTCACTTCCGGGACAAGCCGCTCACCTCTGGTGGCTTCATACTTGCTTGCTCAATGCACCATCCAGCCCCCTCTAGTGGAGATCAGTGGGTGGGCCAGGTATGTTAATATTTCTGTAGTGAGCCGCCACAGACGGTCGCTGCGAAATGACGTAGACGGGCGGGCCGGGTAAGTTAATGCGTGCCCCAGTGACATGCACAACGAAACATCAGAACACCGTACGGTTAGCGCAACGATTGTCGATGGCATGTCAGTGTCGACGAAATGTATGTCAATATGTCGTTTGATTAAAAGTTGTCGATGAGATGTCTGTCGATGAAACAAAACAGATCCCAAAATGTAGGTTGCCACAGTAGCGGGGTTTGCTGTAAAATGAAGCAAAAAATAATAGTCTGGGTGCAGCGAGCTTCATATTTTGTCACAGGTGTGTTGCAGTGGTGGATGTTACCATGTGAAAGTTAAAGGCACTGATTTGTTTGTGCGAAAAATCGGAAGAATATATGCAAGATTTTCAGTTATCGGTGGAGGGTTGTGTTTCGTTCTCATGTTGAGAGATGGCACAGCACATCACGGAAAGTAGACCGCACTGTGGAGCAACGGGTCTATGGCAGGGTGTCTCGACCCCAATTGCGTTTTTCTGTTGTGGCTTTCATGTCTGCGTGCATGGCTATATTGTCACGAATAACAAATGGTGAGGCGGCGAATAACTGACAAAACTAAACGTTGAACGGGGCAAACTTGTGCCCAAAACAAAATAGAGAAAGGCTAGCGTCGCAGGCGTCGAAGCAGCAGGATTGAGCGCTAGGAAGAGACTGACTTCGCTCGCCATGCGGAGTCCCTTTTGTAGTCGCGTGGGTCTCTGGAACATTCGGCCTAGACATTTCGGTGCGTAGAACATTCGTAGCTTGATCAGACAAGAAATTTCTCGAATTTGCGAGAACGCCAAGTAGAAAGAATAAATAAAAGAACATTCCGCTGCCTGGAATCAAACCCAAATCTTCTGCGCTACAATCAAGTGCAGTAACCATTTGGCCACGTACGCGCTCGCTCAGCGACGTGTGTGGCAATATTAGAAGAAAGCTGTGTTACAGCAAGATTATCTTCAGCCTCGTCGGACTCGCCATCACGGGTTTTTCTAATTGCAGCACATTGCTCCATCTCCCAACAGAAGCACGAAACATCGCTTTCGGCCATCTGCGTCCTGACGCAGGTTGCTGATGCTCTGCAAAAACAAAGCTGCACCTTTCGATTCCACAAGGTAACACCCATCACTAATGTAGTTTGACAGAACCTTCAAGCTTGCCTTGTGCAGGTGTTACTCTTTCCAGAGAATTCTACAGCTAGCTCCGCTACTGGTATCACATTATGCATACTTTGAGATATTCTAAATGTCATATTCTGTGTTATTGACAACCAGGTATTCATGATACCAAGAAAGATCACTCCAGCCATATATATTACTTTTTACATATAGTATGCAAGCAACACAGACCAAAAGAACAATTGCTACACTCACTTGCATTTGTGGATGAGCTTTTCAAATGATGTCCAATCAGTTAGCACCTGTCGATTTGGGCGGAGGGCCGTGGAGCATCATGTTAGCGCCTGTAAATACGCTCTCGACAGTTGCCGATAAAAATGGTGTTCTGTGGTTTGTTGGTCTTCTAATCTTTGTCCATGCTTTACGCATTGCTTCTTTTACTATGGTCATCCAGCTTGCACAATTGTCAATGTTAACTTCATCTCCACATCAGTTTTTGGTCCTCCTAAATTATCTTGAGGTGTCTCCATGCTCTGATATGGTGAGGTTGCCTTTTCAGTAATGATCTTGTGACGTCACGATGGAAGGAATCGCTGTTCTCTTATCTATTGATAGTATTTGAAAGCATAAACTCTGCTCCCCTCCATCGATATGGCACGAAAGTGCAGAGCACACCTGTAAAGCTTGTGCTTGCAGTGCCTTAGATGTTCAGAATCTAGATGAAGTTTCATGGAAAACATTTGTTATTCTTTTAATATAGAAAATAGCATCTCCTGTTGATTAACCTTATAATGCTTTACATTTTTTAAGCAGACCTTATATGAAACAGTTTCTTATATTTATTATTCTATCATAAAGATAATTCACACTGTTTTTATTCACTGACCTTGTTGCAAACCTTGCGAAAGGAACAAAACAGTATGTGATGAGGTGCACTCGTCATAAACCACAAAATGGCAGATAACTCATGGCAAGCTGCGCTTATCATAAGCCGTTAAGATTTTGCGTAATCAATTAATTATACCCTGAGGGTCCTCATGTACAAAGACAGAATGTTCTGATCAGATCCTGGTCTGCAAGGTAACAAAGCCTCGGTGGCCTCTTCACAACAGTCTCCACTCATCTAAAGCAAAAAAAAGGCTTTATTTTTAGTTTCCAGTTTATTGATTAATTGAAAACATTAAGGAGCTACATTGAGTTTTGATTGTACTTTTATACCACAAACACACCCAAAATGAATTTTACTTAGTAAATATAAATAACCTATAATTAGGCCGTATATCCTCCGGTGTTTTTTATGAGAAAAATCGGCGGATGTTTTTCATTGTTTATTTATTTTTCAAACATTGGTGTCTTTTGACCAGAGTTGGGCCAAAGTACTTAATGTACTTGGGAATACAAATGCTGGGATACATCAAAATAGCTAAAATAGTGATACTTATATATATCTGTAAAAATGTATTGTGATATGCATCGGAAATACATTTTAACAAGGAGCAAAATGTATTTGGAAATACAAATGCAGGAATACCTTTTAGAGATGGCAGAAATACAGATACTGAAATACATTTTTCTAATTTGCTTGAGGTGCCAACTGTCATATCATAGGCAACAAATTAGTCAGGAGGTGCAATGAAAATCATTCTTGCTTTGTCTGTTGTTTTACACTGAAGCGATACAAAAGAAAGACATGCAAGTGCCAAACTCGGTTACACTTGAGGAGCAGGAGCTTCTCAAATAGCCCACCTGTGAGCCATTGCCCATTCAAATGCAACGTCATGTTGGCAAAAAAAAAATAGCTGCTCAACAGTTGGTTTATATTAAATCAAAGAAACAGTACTTTCACAGCTGGGAACCACATTTCTTCACTAAGAAATGCGCCGCTCACAGCACATTTCTTATCTTCGCAGAATAGAGAAGAGGTCGCATAGACAAATATTTCTGGGAATTGGAATGAACGTTGGTCAGCATAGTAACAATGCCCCAGCGTCCCCTTAAAAAAAAAAGTCAAGATATTTTTTTTTTTTTTGGGGGGGGGGTGGCAGAAGCATGGTGGAAAACATTCTTCAGTTTTGCAGAATAAAGAAGGGGGTTGCTAAGATCCGACACAAATAGTTCCGAACAAACCTAGGTTCGCATGATAGCAAATGCACAGCATACCCCTCATAACGCCCTCTGGCCTTCTCTAGCAAAACAAAAAAAGTTATCTTCTTTATCCAGAGGTGGGGGTTATTTCTCAAGAAATGTAACGAAATACATCCCATCTTGATTGTATTGCGGTACTGAGAAACATCCCAAATGCATTTCGATACAGAAGTACAGATAGTGGTGAAAAAAAAAGTGTTGCAATACAGAACTACAGACACTAAATGTATTTCTGAAATACTATTGCAATACATTTGTATTGCGATACTGCACAACCCTGCTTTCGACTTGTTGTATGATGTAGACGCTAAAAACAGCGATGATCGGTGAAAAAAAAAATTGGTTTGGGACAAGTTGCTTTTCTATCTGCCGTCCTCTGACATGAACCAACAAGGGCGTTGTGACTGTTGGTAGTAACCGTCTAACCCACCTCTCGGGCCCTTGTGCTCCAAGGTCAGCGATCCCACTGATTGGAGACCCCAGTTTGCTTAATTCTTGGTAGCAAAACAGGCTCAGCAAATGCCTAGAATTAGGGGTTTCAACCAAAATAGTAATCGCCTAGCGCCAAATCGTCCCCAAAAACGGTGTTTTTCTGTTATAACCGATTTTGCATTTTCGTCATCGGCTGATGTTTCTCAGTATTTTTAGGTTAAAACTGGAAAGTCACAACCTACCGATAACTTGGGTTCTGTGTTTTCTGAGTATTTTTTTTCTCGAATTTGAGGGTACTTGTTTTTTTTTTGGGGGGGTGGTAATTTTTTGTGCAGATTCGGTGTTTTTTGTGTAAATTGGGAATGACTTCAACCAATTTACACAAAAACACAGAATCTTTGGAAAAAATTAAACATCGAAAAAGAAATACCCCCGAATTCGAGCAAAAAAAGTTAACTCCGAAAACACTGAACAAGATCAGCGTTTTCAATTTTATTATTATTTTTTTTTTTTTGAATTCGGCATACATTTATTGGTTTTTATTTCGAAATCCAATATTTGGTTTTTATCAGTTAATATACGCCATAAAATTTATCTTTTTTCTTTTTCAGTGAAATGTATTCTATTACACTTGTTCTTTTATAAGCACTCAGCGATGGATACAGTTGTAGACAGGTCAAAAAAGCATGTGTTTAGGTCAGTAAGTTCCTTGAAAGTTCGAAAATCCAAAAAAATAGGTAATTATGTCAGGAATATAACAAGATAGATTAAAAAAAGAGTATACCATTTGTGAAAGTAACATGTATAGAAGGGGTCAGTTTTTGGTTGGTATGAAAGGAAGGGAGGTAGCATGTGTCATTGGTTCAGTTTGAGATGTCGTTGATGGAGTGGAGAGGAAGTGTGTCGACCTTTGGAGAGGAGGGTTGTTGTGTATATATAAGAGCGGAGGTGTTCAAATAAACTAGAAGCTGTGTTTGAGACTTGTTGTTGTTTTGTCCGTTTTTTTATTTTTCCGTGTCTCCGGTTTACGATGGAAGTTCTTCACCAGCTCGCCTGTGCTTTTACCCTTTCTATGTATAGAAGGCAGTTTTAAACTCTGACAGAGTTTGAAACTGCCTCTATGCATTGGGAAGTTCTGAAACATTTTTGATAAGAAACTATTCAAATCACTTCTTAAAATCACAGTGAACTTGGCACACGAGGACCGGTCCCCAAGGAGAACAGAAATTTAACTCAGAAGGCGAGCCCGAGTACTGCACCTTGATGTCTGTGTTTACAGTTAGATCCTCCCCTGACTAAATGCAAGTGGACCCCAATAATAAGCAACCAGCCCCATAAAACATTTGCAATGAGTTAACAACCCCCACTCCCTGCACGTACACACCCACACACAAAAAAATATAGCTGCACAATTAGATCAAAAATACTGACCCCTACCTAAACCTATAATGTTCATTGGCTGCTTCCAAGTTAGACATGTGTGTCCTCTGTGGTTCCAAGGAGTGGTCACAACCCAGCTTTGTTTTATGCTATGAATTAATTCATTCGCTGATGTTTCAGTACCTCTTCTCAACCGAGGCAACATGGTCAACCTCGACAAGCTGGCTACTGACCAGTACCACGTGTGCCGTGTCCGCGGCATCCAGCGTCTTGCATTTGCGCTCGGCAAGGCACTCGCAAAACTTTATGGTAATTCTATCTTTGGTGGGTGCTGTGCCCCATTCTAACCTTTCGAAGTCCACAGGTGTTTAAGATGTGGAGCCTGTGGCCAGTGGGGAGGTGTATGTCTCCAATTTGCCGGACCCTAGCAGTAGCTAAGTTACCGCCGAATTCACAAACCTCATTTCAATTGAGGCGCCCCTCCACTTCCTCAAGGAAGGTGTGAGGGCCGGTGCTGGGGGGGGGGGGGGGGGGGGGCCAGTCGCGACGACAAATAGGCGGCCTAGGCTGCTTAGCCGTCCTCGCGATTGGCCAGTGCCGTCCCTCGTGCCTTAATTGAGGAATTGGGGGGGGGGGGGGGTGCCTCAATCGGAATAAAGGTTTGTGAATTCGGCAGTTAGTGTCTCTTTTCCCCTATGTGCAATCCCAGCCATTATGAGCTAGAATGAAGAGCTTTCCTACAAGAACTTTCTAATCCGTTATTTCAAAGTTTGTTTATTTCTAAAGAGCATCTCAGTGCCTGCATTTTGATGTGTCATAATACTCTACTCTAAGATCTCAAAAGGTACTCCACCCCTATTTTTGGCTTGATTTGCTTTACTTTTTAAACACCGAAAGATAGACTACTTCTAGTAATAGTAGTGTTGGGATCAGTGATGGCCTCGACACCAATGCGGCTAGTTAGCTGTGGTGGGATACAAGTGAATGTTGCTGATTGGGAAGTGCATACCTCGGGATTTTATGGTATGTGCCAAATAGCTTTAAAAATGAAGGGATCTGCAGAGATGCTTGAAAAATCATCACTTTTCTCGTGGTAAGGAACGAATTCAGGGCCATAGAAGAACTGCAACAAATTGTGTAGTTGGGCTAGTTGGTTGGTCATTTTGAAATGGTATCTGTCTGCTTCTTTCTATGTTTACTTACTGTACCATGCAGAAGTAAAATTTTCAGTCGTAAGTGAGCGCTGTGTCTGTGTTCTCTTCGTCTTTTTCAGCCATAGGGAGGCTCACACACCATTGGTTGGGTGGCTTGCAAACCATGTCGCTGATTTCCATTGTTGATGTGCACTTTTTCCCATAAAAAGAAACAAAATCAATCAAAGCATCAAGCGAAAAGTTCAGTGCCTAATTATGAATGCTACAAACGGAATATTTGGAAGCCTTTTTCAGCTTGGGCCATTCTAGATGGTTCAGTTTTATTTTCTTAAAAATTGCTTTGGGAAGCTTTTTACAGACAGGTGAACATTATACACCCAGGGTTCCCAAACCAGGTTTCATAGGCTGGTATTTTGAATTCCGCAAGCACCCAAATATATATATTTCATTTTTTTATGGGAAAGTGAAGAACTGCATATTTCTACTCAAATGCTATGTATACCATGAAATACCCAGCATCCTCCGATTGTACACTAAGCGCCCACCCCTAAATGTTGTAACATCTAAAAAAATATGGACAGTGGAAATATAGATAACATCGATAGCATATCAAGTGCCCATCTCCCACTTTTTTGCAATGATCTCCGGATTTGTAGAGATGCCTGAGCGTTACTTTACGACATATTATAGGGTTGTACAAATATTCTAAAATTCAGAATATTGAAGCGAATGACGCCGTATTCTACTCGCACTTTGAATTGGTGAGGAGTATTCGGCAACTTCAAATATTTTCAAAGTATTTCTTCACTGCTATACACTGCCGCAACGCACCGGTGTATAGCGGTGAAGCGTGATGCATGCGTGGCGGAGCAAAGCACTGAAACTTTTGTGAGCACGATGGTGCAAAGCGGTAAAGCATGACGTGCCTGGTGCAGCATGAATGCTGCAGTATCAAGGAGTGTGGAAGGGGCGCAAGGGAAAGGTGGGTTCCATAGCACCTTTTGAAGGTTGCTAGGATTCCTTGTCACCAGATAATTCAAGAACACTTGTTTGTAAAGGTTGAGTCAAGGTGCCGGATAATGCATTATCCGGCAATACAATTGGCGCCTCCATGTAACAGGCCAGCATTTCACCATGTTGCTCTTGTCGCCCAGGGGCAGGGCCAGATTACCCATATTTAACTGCTCAAATGAATAGGGCCCTCTGTGAGGGTATCCTCCCCTGACAGGGGGCGTGTTCCAAACCTTACTCGACTGGATCCCAGCTACTCCTGCGGGTCATGTCACGGGACATTTCAAGCTGAGCAACGCCAGACGCAAAAAGGTTTTCGAACACCAAGGTATGAAACTGTTACTCTAGAGTGAGATTGGGTAAATTTCGGAACACGGCCAGGTTGATCACAACCGCTGGCCATTGCTGAATCAATGGCAGCTGGCGTTGGCACGAGAGCACTCGACACAGAACACGCACAGTGGTCTGTGTTAACCGTTGCGTATAGCGTACATAAATTTTTTTTTCTGCGTCTACCCTTCGCCGGAATATTCTGCAGGCTTGATTTGAAACAGAGTGATACGGTATTCATGCCCATGCGACTCCAAGACTCGTGGTGGTCAGCCCGAGCGGATGCTATGAAGCTCTGTTCGCTCAAGAAATTAGGGTCGCCTTGAGGGTCTGAAGGTTAGGAAGAACTAGCAGAGACATGGGTTATGGTTGAAGACTATGGGTATGACTGCAACAGTCGTAGCTTAATTCAGGGATAGAGTGTTGCAATGCTTCAATGCCATCAGAACGCTACATAATCAGACGCTCACATTGAATGAAGCTGTAAACCTGACGAAATCATTGAGTGATTATATATCCGGTTTAAGGAAAAGATTCAATGAAATGAAACAGGCAGCGAAGGAAACATTGGGAACTACGTACAAAGCAACAATCATAAGAAAGCAAACCGATCGGCACAAATGGCAACCTTCACCCTCAAGATGCCTTACTGAACTTGCACTGTGATACCAATATTGGCATGATTGACAACCTTCTGCATTCACTTAAAACTCGTTTCACTGCTTACAGCAAAGTCTGCCTACAGTTTACTTTTTATTGCCGACCGCGGCACACTTTCGTTGAAACAGTGGTGATTCCAGGCAATGGATAAATCTGGTCTGTCGGACGATTTCCCCGATGAACTAGAACAGTTCCTTTTATTTTCCGAAAAGGAAGGCTTCTGTAAGAAACATTCCAAAACTGTAGTCTGAGAAAAGCTTCAAGGCTCATTTCTAGGTGTTCATGTACCCATTATAGATTTTTATTTTTTTATGTTTACAAACTGCACGGGTGAACAATCTCTCTGTAGGCCCAGATTGACATAACACAGACTTCGATCAATGATGGCCAATGACCGCCTCAGTGAATTGTCCTTGCGGAGTGTGCAGATGGATAGTTTCCGTTGGGTCGAAGTCCAAAAGTTTATAATCACGATTTGAACAAAAGATTCGGAAGATCCCGTGAAAGGTAGACATGATAGCAGCTTCCTTGTAAATTGTAAATAATGCTGAAGACAACGGTTGTGCAAATATTCATAACTTTTAAATATTGAAGCGAATAATGCCGTAATCGATTCACACTTTAATTCGAATAGGACTATTCGGTAATTTTGAATATTTTCGAAGTCTGAAAATACCGGTCTGCAAAATGTTGAGCCGCCCCCCCCCCCCCGCCTCCCCACCTACCGCAAAAATTAAGATGCTTTGCCGTAGTCCTGTCGTGTAAAGTGTGAAGCTTCATGCAAGCATGTCTGGTGAAGCGGTGGAGCTTTGTGCGAGCGCGCAGTGCAAAGCAAAGAAGCTTGGCATCCCCGACCGAGCTCGAGGGCTACACCGTGGAGGCATACTTGGTTGATATGATAATCTTATGTTATATTGTCTAAAGGAAACTGGCTTTGTAGTATCACAGAAGCCGCCGTCCTGCCATTTTACAAAGTATCTTCCCACAATCTTTTAGCTTGTTCTCAACTGGTGTCAGCTGCTTGTGCAAGCTGATGAAGCATTTGGTGAAGATAACTATTTCGGTAGTTGGGACGATGACATGACAAGCCCAGTTGAAAATGTAACGAGATACATTATTCCCTTGAATGTTGCGAGACAAGGAATATATTTTCACGTGTATTTCGATGCTGAAATTCAAGTACTAACCCACAATCTGGTGTCCTGTATATTGTTACAAAGGGATTGGAAGACCTACATATCATAGGTAAACTGGGCTTGTGTTGCTGTACCGGTTCCTTGACCACCGCTATGGTTCTCTCTAAGAGTAGCCTGAGGCAGTTGTGTTCAGTCCCCAGAATATCAAGTAGAGTCACTGCCTGCACTTTGATGGTCTCACACAGTCCATTCATGAGCGTGCATTGTTCTTACCATGTGAGACAACGCCATCAATTTTCTGGCAATGAAATGAACTCGCTAGCATTCCTCTTGCCATTGCAGATTTTTCAAGTGTAACTAGCCGAAGTAGGGTGGTAGATTGGGATAGTTGGTAAGAGCGAAACTAATCATGATGGAAAACAACCTCTCTTACAAAACAGAGTGAAAAAAAAAAAAAATTCTTTATTTATAAATTGGAGTTTAGCACTGCCACATTGTAAGGCTCTATCCCTCTGATTGCCAGCTGCCTGGTTGGCATGTGTGTTTGTGTTAATGTAATAAGACTAAAATGCTTCCTTTTCATAAAACAAACTACACTTGAAGGTCATCCATTGTTTTGTTGTGTTAGTGCCTTTACTTCATCCTTGTGTCTGAGGCTGCTTTCCAGTATTTTTATTCCATAATAATCATTTTTAACTGACCCTGTGTGCCTTCCTGGCCACAGACAAGCCACCCCCACAACCAATACCTTAACAGTGCATATGTACTGTATTGTCGGAAGGGGAATTTCGACAGGACATTTTCACCTGTGCCACTGCCAGCGAGCACCTTTCCCTGCAATACAGCGGTGTCTTTCGGTGAAGCAAACCTATGCTGATCTGCGAGAGTATGAGAGTGTGCTTCATTGCGAAGTCATTAAGCTCTCAATTTAACTTAAAGAAAAAATGGGAATATATATACTCAATTGATCAAGCTATCTACGTTGCGAAAATAATTTTAAATATGCTAAACGAATTTTTGTTTCGAAACCGGGGAACCAGAGCACGGTAACGAGAGTATGTTTACAAACATCCCGGCGCCATGTTGTAACGGTTCTCCGTGGATTTTTTCCTTGCGTTCTAAGTTTTGATGACGCCTTTCCCCGCTGTTATCTTCGTCGTCGCACCTACAGCCCTCGGAGATGGGTAAGTAGATTCGTGTACCGCGAATGCAGTGAGCATGT